CCAGGTGCAGGAGAGCTAGAAGCTGGCAGAGGCAGCAGAGTTGAGATTCAAACTCAGATACTCCAATATGGGACACAATCATCCCAGGTGCCAAGTTATCCATGATATCAAATCATCCCTTAGTATCATGACATTTTGTTACTTCTATAGTGGACATTTTGAACAAATGACAGGTTTTTGTCTTGATTTTTGTGGATTAGAAAGGACTTAATTGATGGCGAGCAGCCAGGAAGGCTGTAAATCACCTTCACTCCTCCCCTCCAGCCAGTGTCTCTGGACTGCAAGGGTCTCAACCATCCCTGCTGCTTTCCTTCTATCCATCCCTGTGGCTTTGTGCCCAGCAGTCAGAAAGCATTTAGGAGTAAAGCCGTCCTTTGTCTCTGCTACATTCCAGGACAAAGGGAAAAACCCTTCCACTGTATTCTGTCCCTCTGAAGAGCAGCACAGGTGACACTGTAGATTATGCTTCCCATCATGAGCTGTCACACAATGGTGCAATATGTTTGTTTCCATCCAGTCCTCCAAATAGCCAGCTGAAACAGTGTTGCCATTCTAGAAAAACAAAGTTGAGACTAATGACTAATGACTTAAGTAGTTAGGTCCAAGTATGCTTAGTTGCAAATTGTACCATCAAGCTGTGAACTGCTGCCTCCTTCCTCTATACCACAGCGGCCTCAGCCTATTAATTTATGTGATGTATTTATTTGGCTGATTGTTCTGCATAATACTGATTTGTTTTGCTCAATGTTCTTGCCTCAGGATTGGCAAAGCAACAAGAACTTCTAACTGAACTTGCAGTCTTTTAATCTACTACCACAAGCAGAAATGAGGTCCTCTTAATAAGGTGTGAATCAGGAGAAAACGTCTGCTCCAAAAGTGACTGATTTCCATTGGCCGATCACTCTGCATGACAAAGGACCAGGAAGCTCCCTGGAAGGGTGTTTGCTGTTTTCGCTTTACCTTCCAAGAGAATTTCACAAAAGGTTTTATTTCCCATCTCCTTAGTAGCTAGGGCCCCTGGTTGAGTTCAAGGAGTCAGACCTGGACTTAATAGCCAGTCCAGAAGATACATAAATGTTATGATTATTAATGACCCCAAAGACGCCATCATCCAACAAACCAAAAGCTCTTAGAACAACACAATAATCCAAAAGCAATCATGGATTTTGAAACAAAAACTTTAGAAAACAACAGTTCTCAGGCTGTTTGGTGCTGGACAAGGACATCTAAGAGGCAAGAGCCAGGGATCTGAACCCAGAGTCTCTGTCACTGTTTCTGTGCCTTTGGGTAAAGCACTGGGATTCCTCACTCAGAATCACTTATCTGAAGAGGGTTCGGGCCTTCCTGGAGGGGAACTGTTATCCAGAACCTCCATCAGTTCTTTCTATGCTGGTAAAGTCACTGATGCTAGAAACTGGACCTCATTGCACTAGATAAGTAGGGAAATGAAATCTCAATAGCCATGAAAGGGTGTGGGATTCACGGGGAGGGTTAATTATATTGAATCTCCAGGGCTTAGCATAGAACCTGACCACTAGCATTGCTCAATAAATGAATGGGTGAAGGTGAACATAAGAATGGGTGGCTGAAGCCTCCCCTAGGATCACTATGGACCTGTGGGGTGGAAGAGACCTCTGGGCTTTGCGCAGTGAGCCAAGCAAAGCTGAATGCCATGTCTTCCTGTGGAAGGGAGAGACACTATCTCACAGGGTTGTTATGAGGATAACTTGGGTAAATACTGAGTTCAACTCCACGGGTGGACAAGTGATGGGAAAGCTGTGAACGTCAGGGTCTGAGGAGTCCCTAGACTCCACACCTCCTTGTCTGGGCTTCTCATGGCTCCAACTTCCAAATTCTGGGCCTTCTGTGAGATAAAAGGCAGGCAGGTAAGGCCAGGAAGTTAAATGGACTCCAAGAAGGCAAGTGAGCAAGTTGGCCCCCTTGGCTCTAAGTCCCCATCAGCTTTCCTGCACATTGCAGGGCACAGACCAGGGCTTGAGCGGCAGACAGCAGACAGCAGACAACTCAGGACCAAGGAAATGAGTGGCAGTGGCATGGCCCATCAGGTCGGTGTGATGCTGGTTAGGAGACTCCAGTTTCTTCTAAACTCCCCAGCCAGATTTGGTCATCCCCTCGCATAATACTTAAGGCATTTACACATTGAACCTTGCCATAGTAGCTTCCATGGTTAAGTTCTGGGAAACCAACTGGCCTTCTGGCAACCCTGAACATGCCAGGAGGAATGAGGAGTCGCAGGTGGGGGATGGCTCCCATCCCCCTCTTACTGTTTCGGATTTAGGAAAAATCCTTTCCTTCTAGTGGTGAGGCTTTCCCCTTTGTTTAGCTACAAGTGATGCAGGTAGGAAAACATTAGGGAGCATTTGAGCTTGCAAACTTCTTTTAAGGAAGCATGCCTTTGGTGAGCTGTTAAATTAGGAAAATGACCCTGTGTACAATGTTGAGCTCTTTGAGAATATAGATGCTGTTTATAAGTGGATGTTATTGAGGCCCCTGACCAAGATGGGAGGGAGGGCAGGCAGCAGAACTCCCAAGAGCCACATGGTACAGTGTAAGGTTTGCTCCCAGGAGAAGCTGCCAGGTGGTTGCGTGAGTGCTGGCGTTTCCTAGGATCTGCAGACAAATGAAGTGGGCCATAGCCTGTGTTACGCTGTCTCAAGCCACAGTTGGATGGGTAGCAGGGAGTGGGCTGCTTTCCCACAACCACAGTTCCCTTGCTAAAAGAAATTATGTAACACACAACCCTGTTTAAAAGTGAGAAATTCTCTGGGGGAAGAATCTTTCAGCCCATGCACTTCTGAGGCAGAAGATGACCTGAATCTTGAACTGCCTACCAAGTGGCTTCCAGTTCACTTCCCCAAGAAGAAGACCCAAACAATGGACCCTGCCCAGTACAGAAATCAAAAACCAGTAACAGAACAAGCCATCAGCTCTAGGAGAAAAGGGTGAGGGTGCAGCGATGATTTCTACTTAACATCTTCAGCTCCTAAAGAGTTCTCCGGAGCCCCAAGGCCCTGCCTGGTGCTTGGCTCCATTCAAGGTCACCGGGTGGACAAGCTCCTTTGTGCAGTGCTGAGAACCACAGACAGAAACCACTGCCTGCCAGGCCCCTTTGATCCCCGGGCCCTCTGGCTGGTGACGTTCACTCAGGGCTGCGGTCTTGGCTTTTTCCCAGGACAGGAACAGAGGGGGTAGTTCAGCGTCCCACTGCCAGGCGCCAGGTCTGCCTGAAGACCTTAAGGAACTTCGCTGAAACCCCTCTATTTCATGAGAAACCAGCGCCCCTGTGAGGGGAGGTGTTCCGACGGTTTCAGCAGTTCACTGGCTGTTTTGAAAATTTCAGGAGATGCCGTGTGCAATTCAACTTCCATGCCTCCAGGTTTTCTCTCTATCTCCACGTTTCTCTTTGGATTCCTTGCGGGGACTTGGCACTGACTGCGATGTGATTCGCAATCCTTTGTGAAAAGGGCAAGCAGGCTCAGGGACAGAGCTCAGAGAGTTGGGAACGGATGCGCGCAGAGGAGGCGCTGAGGATGATGGGGGCCGGTCGCCGGGCAGAGATGTCAGTCCTCTTCAAGTAAGATCATCAATGTCCCCTCGCCCGTCACCCTCACCCTGCCCCCACGAGCGCAGAATCTGCTCTTGGAATAAATCTGCTAGCCACGAGCTGGGCCGCTTTTTGGGACCCACCGGGACTCTCTGTTGTGTCTTTTGTTCCTGGAATTTCGTTTTCACAATGCGCTTGTGCGGAACCCAACTCTAGAGCGTACCCGAATCGCGCGCCCAGCGGTGGCCGCTCCGTCACCCGAAAGCACCCAGGCACCTCCGGTGCCCGCCCCCCGCCCCCCAGCTGCAGGCGCACCTGGGCCATCACGGCCCCTCTGCCCCTCCGTTCGGAGTTTGCTTTCCTGGACCGCCACAGGGCGGCCTGCGCATTCAACCAACGCGTTCAAGTTTCAGAGAGTGAACCCCAGGCGGGTCTGTGTGGGAATAGAGACCCGAAGCTTTCTTAGTGGATGTTGTCACTTCGCGGTTTTATTCTAGAGGGGACGGTTGGAAGCAGCGAGCTTAACGGTCACCGATGTTTCGAGCGCGAGGGTCCCCGCGTTCTAATCGGTCGCGCTCAGGGCCAGAACGCAGGAGGGCGACCCCACCCACAAGTCCACCAATACCCTGGGGTGTAGGAGGAATTGCTAAGGAAGGAAGGCCTTCCAAGGAAAGAACCCGTTGGCTAATCCGGCAGAGTAAATGCAAACTTTAATAAACCGGAGTCCGGGTATTCATTTCTAGTGTACTCAGAAATCTCACCCAAGTGAGTTTCTGGGAGTTAGGGGAGGGAGTTGGAATAAAAGCCCGGGGTCCTAACAGGTGCAATATCTTTCTTGCCACGCCCTACTATTTACTCTCCGAAACGCGCCGCGTAAGGGTTACAGACTGTTAAGACTCAGCGGAGATGGGGGAGCCAGAGGCGGGAGGGGAACTAGCACCAAGAACACTGAAGCGGTCTGGGTCCCGGCGGGGAGCTGACAATCGCGTGCCCTGCCCGCTGCGCTGGGCACTCGCCGCGGGCGCCCAATCAGTGTTCCCTCTGGGCTGTGACAGGCTCCACCCCTACCCCATCCCGATAAAAGCTTCGGTGGAGCCTGAGTTCCACAGCCTAGCGCGTGGCCCGGTGCCTCAGCCCTGCCTCTAGGTGCACTCTTTGGCAAGGCCACTCCCAGACCCTCAGGGCCTGGCGCGGTGCGTTGCTCACTCTCCTGGGTCACCAGGGCCAGTTGGCTGAAGATCCCCAGTCCCTCCTCGACCCTCTCTCTCCTCGGCAGTCGCTGTACCTGGCGGCGTGGGAGCCCTTCGCCGGCCTGCAGGTGAGCAGCGCGTCAGCAGCGTCGGGCCCCAGTCTCGCGAGCTCCCCGGGCCTGGCGCAGCGTGGCCCGCGCGGGAAGGCGGCTGGCACTACCTGAGCCCCTTGTCTTTCTCGCAGGATGAAGAACCCGATGCTGGAGGCGGTGTCCCTGTGGTTGGAGAAGCTGCTTCTGATCTCCAACTTCAGGCTCTTCAGTTGGGACTCCCCTGGCGGCGACAAGGAACAGAAGGGTTTCTATGAGGTCAGCTCTTTTCTCCGCGGCGACGTGCTGGAAGTGCCCCGGACCCACCTGACCCACTACGGTATCTATCTGGGAGACAACCGCGTCGCCCACCTGATGCCTGACATCCTGTTAACCCTGACAGACCACAAGGGCCGCACGCAGAATGTGGTCTCCAACAAGCGTCTCATACTGGGCGTCATTGCCAGAGTGGCCAGCATCCGTGTGGACACCGTGGAAGATTTCGCCTACGGAGCTCACATCCTGGTCAATCATCTGGACGAGACCCTGAAGAAGAAGGCGCTGCTCAATGAAGAGGTGGCGCAGCGGGCAGAGAAGCTGCTGGGTGTCACCAGTTACAGTCTGCTGTGGAACAATTGCGAGCATTTCGTGACCTACTGCAGATACGGCACCCCGATCAGCCCCCAGGCGGACAAGGTACAGCGGGAGCCTCGCCCCAGGAGATTCCCAGAGGGCGCTGGGGCTACCCTCTCTTTTTGGTAGGAACACCCTTTCTCTTGGACCTCTTTCTCCCATCTCTTTTCTTTCCTTTTTCTTTTTTCTTTTCTTTTCTTTTCTTTTCTTTTCTTTTCTTTTCTTTTCTTTTCTTTTCTTTTCTTTTCTTTTCCTTTCTTTTCCTTTCTTTTCTTTCCGTTTCCTTCCTTCCTTTTTCAAATATATTTTTATTTTGAATTTTGAATTATGTGGTACAATTTTGTATAGGCTGGGATTCCCCCCGAAATTCTCAGCCCCGACAGATTTTCCCCATTTTTACTACAATAGTGTAGTCCTTCATAAGCACTCATAATTCCATCAGTCTCTTAAGTGTACCCCGACATTGTTGGTACAGATAATGTCAGACAGTCCCGTATCCCATTGTCTAGTTTGAGATTAAGTCAGGGGAGTTCTGGAGTTTCTCAAGGGAAGGATCTGAGTAGGGGGCGATTTCCCTTAAGCTGGAAATACCGCGGTGGCAATGCAGGACTCCGCAGCTACGCAGTTGTCTGTGCAGTTCTGAGGGCATTCACGCAGTTCAAATGAAAAAGGGTGGGGGAGGGCGCGGGTGGGGGTGGGGGCGGCGGTGAGGTGGGTAGGGAGGAGACCACAGCGTGTCACCCTGGGCTTGCGGTGTCTCCCAAGAATTGCAAAAGGAAGGACGATGCACAGGGTTTATGTTAAATCCAGAACACTACAAAAAACCAACTTCTGTGCCTTTGGAATAAGAAAGCAAGCCATGTTCTCCCTCTGTGAGCAACCTAGAATGGTCTTTCTGTGTGCGTGTCCATCTCCATCAATTAAGAAAACATTTCCTTATAGTTAAGTATCCTTTATTGTCTGTCCTAAAGATAACTCGGGTATTTATAAATTGCCCAGAGATCAAAACAATTGATTTTCAGGAAGACCTGTCAATGTTTTATGTGTACTTAGGAAAAACCAACCAACAAACCAGGATTTAAGATCATTAAAATTGGCCACTAATCCAAAGGGGAGGGGAAGCAGAAACATGGTGTTTCAGATGTGAACATTTCACTCGCAATTGGCAAAAGTACTCATCCCCTCCTGCAGTTTTTGAAGTGTTGTTTATATGCCCTGGAAGGAAAAACCCGTGTAATCACCTATACATTTTACTGCTAATTCTTCATGCTTAGATGGTTTTGATGATCAAAAGAATTTGAGTCCATGTCACCATTTCTGATTGCTTCACTTCTTGATTCATTTTGTAGCCTGTACAGGAACACCTTTCTGCCTCTGCTGTGGCAGAGTGTGGCAGAGTGTGGAAGTATTACAGGCTCATACACTCGAATCAGAAATTCCTTGTGGGTGGTTTATAGAAACACAATAGGCTCAAACTAGGAATTCTTTTCCAAGTAAAATGAAAACACAGTTAAAGCACTGTGCAGGAACTTAAGAACATAGCTTCAGCCCAGGCCTGTTTAAAAATAAATTTCTCTGCATTTACAAACACTGGTCCCAAAAGTGTACAAAAGGAAATACACCAGGTTTACTTAAGACCCAAGCAAATCATTTCACCAAGGGAAAACGGTATCCCTGTTTGGTAATTAGGAGCTATCTTTTCATAGAACACATGTAGCACTGTATTGTATGTTTTTACAGAGAAAGAGTACAAGTGTTTTTTTTAAAGGTAGTAAAATATTTAATCTGCATAAATAACAAGTTGGAATAGTTTTTCAACTTTAGAAACTTTGTTAGGTTACACAGAAGTGTTTTAATTACTGCTGCTGAGTGGCACCTCTTGTGAAACTGAATTTTTGTCTTCACTTTGAATGGTCAAACAAACAATTTGGCTGCAGTAAGCTGATTTCTTGGGTGAAAAAATTCTCATCCCAAATTTTCTAATTCTAAGAAGTGTTTGTTGAACATGCCCTGAGAGAAGGTCATTCATGTTGCAGGAGGACTGGTGGCTGTGTCTTAGATAAGGAATGACTCCATTCTGGCTCTGACAATTGAGTTCTCCACAGATAACACAGCTATTATGAACTTAACATGAATATTACAAAATTGCCTCTTACATTTGGGTAAAAAAATTCAGGAATACTCTTGTCTCACAACACTGTGTCTGATTTGTAAGTAAATTAGGAAAGACTCTTTTTGTGGTAGTGCTGTTTTCTTGACAAATTCAGAAATCATAGACTGAAGGGATTTTCAAATTGGCTATAGACAATCTGTATTTTGTTAACTATAAATCCCTGTAGTTGATAATTAATACTATTCTTTATGGTTCTTCTTTTTTCTTACCTCATATTACTGCCTGTTGGTTTCTAAAACGAATGCAAATGTTCCTTTATTTTGGTGGGATTCAAGGTTCACAGTAGCACTGCTGGAAATTTCCCACTGTCATGAACCACCACAGATTCTTCCTGGGTTGACAGCGAGCCAACAAGAATTGGATATTAGAAATGAGATGCTCCTGGAGAAAATTTGCCTTGGGAGAACAGAGCATCCACAGGGACTTCTGCTTGCTCAGTTATGAAATTGTTGGGGAAATAGATAAGGCAAGCATAACTGTATCAAGATAAGTTACTTGTTTGCATAAATCTTCCATTACTCCCTAGTGCTTCTCCTCACTGTCCTGAAAACTTCATTCATTTCAATCATTGCTGCTATGTTTGTCACTCAATTCACACACACACACACACCCAGCAAAAAGAGACAAATCATATTTTTGGGGTGTGAATAATCCAACATGTGGCTAAAAGGGTCCTTCAGACTTGTCTGGATAGTGTGTAACAGTGTGAATAGAGACAACCTTATATTCATATTAATGTGTTAACATATCTATAATTACATATCCGGCCACATAAAAAATCATGATTCCGTAAGACTACTCCACCTAAAATATGGTACCCTTAGTTTGTATAAGTATAGCATAATGTTTACCCAACCATGAAATCATCTAACAGTGCCTTCTACAGAATGCATCCCCATTTTAAGTGACACCAACTGGATTGCAGTTGTTCATTCTGTTTCTTAAGAATCTAGAAACTGGGTCTGGCACACTAGCCTAGGGGTTAAAACCCTTGTCTTGCATGCCTGGGGATCCCACGTGGGTGCCAGTTCTAATGCTGGCGACGTCGTTTCCCATCCAGCTTCCTGCTTGTGGCCTGGAAAAGAGGCTGAGGATAGTCCAAAGCCTTGGGACCCAGTACCCATGTAGGAGAACTGGAAGAAGTTTCTGGCTCCTGGCTTCGGATTGGCGCAGCTATGGTTGTTGCAGCCACTTGGGGAGTGAATCATCAGACGAAAGATCTTTCTCATCATCTCTCTTCCTCTCTCTGTATATCTGACTTTCCAATAAAGATAAATAAGTCTCTAAAAAAAAATAACCTGGAAGCCACAGTAGAAGTTTAGCCTAGCAGTGATGATGCCCACATTCCATCCCAGATTGTCTGTGTGGAATTCCCAGCTCTAGTTCCTGACTCCAGTTTCTTGCCAGGGTAGATTCTGGCAGGCGGCTGTAATAGCTCAACTCACTGGGCTCTTCCTACCCACATTGACGACTTGGACTGAGTCTGTTTCCTAGTCTGAACTGGTCCCAGATCAGTTCAGTCCTGATCATTGCAGGTATTTGCAGAATGAGCCTACAGATGGGAACTGTTGTCGTTTCTCTTTCTGGCTCTCAAATTATGAAAAGTAAGAAAATAATTTGGAAAGCTAACTGTAGAAGACCCTAAAAATATATATGATGTCATAAAAGGAACTTAAATCTAGTATAAAAGGCAAAATTCATGTAACAGTGGCAGTTGCTGAATTTTGGTGTTGACATTGGTGAGGTGGAGATGATAAACAGCAATCTTGATCATTGTAATTCCTTATTTAGCATGTAGAAGAATAAGAGCACTTTTGCATAATGCATTTCACTTGATCCATCCGTGGAAGTAGTCTCATGATACTTTGGAGAGGTTCAGTGATTGACTTGAGTAAGAGGCAGGGCCAGTACAAACACAAGTGACCACTGTGATTTTCTAAAAAAAACAAAAACACAACCAACAGATATTAGAAGAACACATTCCTTAAGGGTTAGGACCATTTTTAATCTGTCTTTTATTTCCAGTAACCAAGTATGTGTTACATAAATAACTGATGCGGAATGCAGCCTAGTTAGCTAGGACATGGGATATGCCATAATTAAACCTTCCATGACTTTGGATTTTGAGGCTTTTAAGAAAGTCATCATGGGTATCACTCAGTTTTTGAATGGTGAATTGAAAGTACTGAATTCACAGTATGAAGCTAACTGCTATTCCTTTTATTCAAGATGAGTGACTTTTCACTCATCTTGTTGTTGATGATTAGTTAAATGTATGTTTAAACTAAGGTTAACAAAGTTTTCAACCTGAAGTCTATACACTTGTGAATTTATAAAGCTAACCCAGATCCACAGTATTGTTTCAGCTACTATGGGACATGCATCAAGAAACTGCACTGTCAGTATCCTACATTTTTCCCTAATTCACAAGGCAACTTTAAGTTCTTCCAGTATATAGAAAACAGCTGGGAAAGTTGCTTTACCATTTGGTAGGTGTATGTGATTCTTTTCAGTTTCTCTCTTTTTCCTGATATTGCTGTAATTTATTTTCCAGTTTTGTGAGATTGTGAAGATCATCATTCGTGACCAAAGAAGCGTTCTTGCCTCAGCAGTCTTGGGATTGGTGTGTGTCATCTGGATGGGCCTGGCCTCTTACACCACTCTCCCTGCCATCTTCATTCCATTCTGCCTGTGGATGGTTGGCTAACTCCTTACCCCCATGTCAACTGTGTGTATTCTATGTGAATAATTTATATTTATAGACCACAAAATCAACATAAGCTCTGTTGCAAAAAATGTGACCTGTAACACTGTGTCCTGGATAAGCTGTGACTGAGAATCACTCCAAGTGCTTACTGTGTAAGCCGAGGACAAAGGCTTCCTAGACCTTCTGAGGCAGTTCCATTTTGAAGAACCATCTAATCCTTGTGATAAAACCCAGCAACTCAAGAAAACCAGCTTGTAAGCTGATGCCTAAAGGGCGTTATTATATTTTTTCTTCTTATAATCTTGCCTCTGTTCAGGTTTGAATTCGGAATTTGGAAGACTTATCAACTGGGATTATTAACTTCACTGCAGATTTATGCTTCATTGATAAAAGAGCATTAAACTGAAGGGATTTTCCTCATCACATAAGAGTGGGATTGATGACTGGTCAAAAACAACCACCCAAAGTCACAATTGGCTTTTTTCATATAATATATACAACCCTGAATGTGTTATGAGTATATTCATTACTTGCAAAACTAAAGTTTAATGATTAAAAAAATGATTCAAGCACATGGCAATCTGTGATTTTCCTGAAGAAATAGCTACTACAACATCATCTGAGCAATTTATCTTCTTACTAGGATGTCTGGCATTCATTTTATTTTCTCTTTCCTTTTATGTGCCCTGTGGCTATTTTAAGTCATGCCAAGGGAAAATGAATATAGGATTAAAGTAAGTGGAGCATCTGAAATGAGGCATATTACAAATATATATGTAGTCATCCACATACATATAGAGTAAGATAAAGATTGTATTTGTGTTTGATTGCTTTATTATCATTCTGGGATGGTTATTATAGGGCATCTGGAGAGGTAAATACAAAGGCAAATTCATTCTATTTCCTTGTGTGCTTGAATCTCCAGCATAATTCTCATATGAGGATACTTCAGAAAGTTCCTGGAAAAACAAACACAATATAAAGAAAACAAGTTTATGTGGTACAATAAAATTTTGAAATCCATGCATAACTTTTTCATAATACATGTTTTCCATGAACTGCTTGAATACTTTTATAAGCATGATTGGCTGGATTTTTGTTGTGAAACATTTACTGAAGTGTTTTATAACTTTTTATAAAAGCCCTCAGGTTGGTTTTCTCTATTTCAGAGTGTTGTTATGTCCTCCAAATGATGCTGCAACAGTGTATAAAATGCAGATGAGGATCAGAGAAAATTACTGTTTGGAATGCTTCTTAGTGGCTTAGTACTGCCAGGAATGTCAATTTTTTCCCTCAAAACCATGATGTATTAAGATGTAGCCATGTTAAGATAAGCGGTCCAGCACTTTTGTAGAATTTGCTGAATTCTAAAAATTAAGACACAAACTAAAATTGCATTGTAAGTATTAGTAAAATAAAGTGTTTTGTTAACTATAAGGAATCACAAAATAATGAAATGTATTGTGAATGAAATGGGGAAGGGCAGAGTCAATGATCTAATTGTAACATATTTTAGGAGCCGACTTCAGTTTAATTGAAGGGAATTATGATCCCTAACTTTCCTATAGCAAATGTGGCTGGAAAGTCATCATAATTAAACTTAATGTGTACTATTCAACCTAGATGTTTAGTTATTTAAATTTCTTAACTGATCAAAATCTTAAATGTCAACAACCATAAATGGTGTAAGGGCCTAGTGTAACCACTTGAAATATATGTACACATATAAATTAATTATATATACATACATACATAATTATATATATATATATATATGAAACCACTCTAAGAACCATTGTGCTAGTGGGTTTTTCACTTACTACCCCTATAGTAACTGTTTAACTAAATCCAGTCTTAAAAAAGTGTAGTTATAAATAATTAATACTTTTTTGTAACCTTTAATATTTGTAAGCTTTAATATTGCAGGTTGCAAAATCTACTGGTTGAAATTAAATCTGTGGTATGAGATTTTGCCACAGTAATTAAGATTTCACGTAGGATGCCTGCCATTTGTATTGCAGTGCCCGGTTCCAGTCCTGACTGCTTTACTTCTGATCTAGCTCCCTCCTAATGTGCACCCTGGCAGGAGACTTAGATGGGGTCTTCTGGCTGCAGCCTGGCCCAGCATGGCTGTTGAGGAGTCTGGGGAATTAACCAGCAGGTAAAGATTTCTCTTCCTCCCAAATGAATTAAAAATAAATAAAAATGTAAAAGTAATTAAATCTGTCCTCAATGATAGTTAATTATTCTTCCTTATATATCAAGCAAGTTCTGAAATTTGGAAAGAGCATCATTAGTTTTTTTCCTCACTTCATATCGCCAAAGCAAGGTTAATTTCTGCATTCTGGTCTGACTACATGCCAGGCACTGATCTTTTGCAATGTCATAGCTAGAATTAATATTATATTTTAACTAGTTGCAATGGTGTATATATAGTCTGTGTTCCCTTGAAAATATAGGGAAAGAAGCAGCTAGGGGTGCCAATAGTATCAGAGAAATATACTTGAGTAAGGTGATGATGTTATTAAGATGAGAAATAGAAATGTGGTGATCTCACTACGGAAATGATTTCTACTGCTTGTGGGGAAAAGAAGGTGAATGGAATGGACCTCTTACTGGTATTTCATGTTCTAGCCCAATAGATATAGGTGTATGACTTTGGCTGGCATCTGTATAGAGCTGATTGAAGGTAGAGGCGAAGAAGTGGTTGTTTAATTTGCAAGGCCAAAATTAAAGAAACTGGGTGCTGGGATTTAGAAGATATGTGTTTTCTAACTGGTAGATTTTGGCCAGAACATCCTACTATTGAGAACAGCATGGGCACATGCATGAAAACTGGCTCTAACATGTCTGTTATGTAGCTAGTGGTTATACATTCCATGCTGACAGAAAGTAAGACAAAGTATGGACATGCTGGCAAATGCAAGTGATTTCAGGGACAGAGCAGTCAGAACAGGTGGTGGTACAAGTCTTGGATTGACCAAGAGATCTGGGTATTCTGAATATGTAGTGAAGATTAAAGATTTAGAATGGTATCTACCAAAAGTGTAAGGGAGGAATAGGAACAAATACAAGGTAAGACTGGCCTAGGGGACAAATGAATAAGAGACTAGGTAGCAACCTCAGTCTCTCAGATAAGCACCTAGTATAAGGATAAACAGCAAACATGTTAGAGCATTCTCAAAACTAGCCAAATTCTTTTATTTGACTCATGAATAACTCGTGGTGGGGTTCATGCGAATGCATTAGCTTCACTGTGTATACTAGATACATGTGACCTCCGCTGTCCCAGACACACCTGTTTTCAAGGATAAGCAATAAATCAGATTTGTTGTTTAAAATTTTTCAAAGTCTATAGTTCTCTTATTTTTCCATTTTCTATTTTATTATTTCAAACAGCAAAAACATTTTGTAACAAAATTATAACAATGACTAAAACTTTTTTGGTTATAGCTGAGAAATATGTAAGAAATGATGGCCAATCTTTGTTTATATAACATATTTTGAGCCTTACCTAGCCTAGATCGTATGCTAAATTGACTTTATGTTTAGTGAACATTCATGTTTAAGCAAATAAATTTACATACTATCCTGTCTTGTATTTGCATTCTATATATACATATATATCATAGATCATAAACATTTTTGACCCTGATAATCTGAGGAATTTTGCCCTTTCATCCTGCCTTTGTTTACTGAACAGAGTTGTATGTATCTGAAAATAAAACTTGAAATTTTTCTGCCTTCATACTCTAGAAGCATGACCTGATCTGGAATTTGAGCAAGGCAGCTGCTAGCTTCACCCTGGCTGCAGGTGTGCTGGAGATGGATATGAGTCCTGAAATAGATTCACAGTGTTGCCAAGGTGTGCGAAGCTGAATTCCTAAGCACACAACCTATTTACAGATGTGGAGAATCCAGAACAGAGGGGAAAAGGAATCATATAGAATGTGGCCTCAGATTTTTTGCCACTAGACATCTTGATTCTCTGAAGTCTTCTAGGAAATGGACAAGTTTTCATGCATGAATGTATTAATTCCTTGTATACCTTCAAGAAAGTCTAAGCAGGGACATAAGACAGTTAACTAGTTGGAACCTGTCATGTGTTTGCTCAGTCTGATGAGACAGAAGGGCAAGAAAACAGGTCTAAAACAGAGGTAAGGGCCCGGTGGCGTGGCCTAGCGGCTGAAGTCCTCGCCTTGAATGCCCCGGGATCCCATATGGGCGCCAGTTCTAATCCTGGCGACCCCGCTTCCCATCCAGCTCCCTGCTTTTGGCCTGGGAAAGCAGTCGGGGATGGCCCAAAGCCTTGGGACCCTGCTCCTGCGTGGGAGACCTGGAAGAGGTTCCTGGTTCCCGGCTTCGGATTGGCACAGCACTGGCTGTTGCAGCTCACTTGGGGAGTGAATCATGAAACGGAAGATCTTCCTGTCTCTCCTTCTCTCTGTATATCTGACTTTGTAATAAAAATGAATAAATCTTAAAAAAAAAAAAAGCAGTGGTAAGCATATATGGGTATCAGAAGAGCAGGGACAAGACCTTCACATGACTACTGGGTACCAGTGGAAAGGAAGGATGAGAAGTCTGGTGCTTTGAGGTGTAAGGAATATGAGTGTGGAAGATGACAAAGACCTCCCTTTCCAGGCGATTGCTAGAACAAGTAGTAGTCAATACAAGAATATGCAGTCATGAGAACCATGACACATTTAGATTGACACAGCTCGTTAAGAGCAATCCCTCATGTCTCCATTGGTGCTATGAGAAGAACTCAACGATTCCATTGGGGAACCACTCTGACTAAGCTGATGCTGGTTTTGTATTGTATGTGGGGAGCTTGCTTCAGCAGCAGCACACACTAACAAAGTTTGAAGGGAGAAAGCATCCTCACATTTTGCAAGTATTTAGGTAAGTGTTAGAAGTGTACAATTTTATAAAATGCCTGAGAAATGAGTAGAATTAGGCTGTGACAGAAAGCAATATGTTTTGTGGGCAGAAGTTTA